TTTTTTGGGCAGTGTAGAGTAGTGCGTAGCGCTTGTTGTTTCGCCGATCACAAATGCAGACATGGTTTTATGTTTACACGTTGCGATACAACGCAATGCATAAAAAGACAGTATAAGTCATTATAATCAGTAATTATGTCCCCACTGGATGCAACAAATGCCTCGTTCATAATGGGTTTTATTGGTTTTGTCTCGTCGCGCTGGGACACGGCATCACAGTATGGTAAGGGGCGTAACATTTCCGTCACACGCTTGAGGTATTCGGCCAATCACAACACACTGGATAGCTGGCCAATCAGCGTACACCTCGCTTTTCAGAACGATGAGCTTTGTAAAAATCTACGCGTTTCAGAAAGGCGGGGCATAGAGGAGAAACAATAATGTACAGTATGTGGAAAATAATGTGTTTTTTTAACCTTAAACCGCATAAACACATTTCATTACACCAAATACACCAAATAATGTTCTTTTTTGCAACGTCATATGACCCCTTTAATGTACACAGTATACACACATATGTAAACAAAAATGTTTATTTTGGATGCGATTAATCGTTTGACAGCACTAGTAAAAATATTTTACAACATTAATGTTTTTACATTATTTTTTATTAAAAAATGCAGCCTTGGTGAGCTTTTTTTAATGTGAGGATGGAATTAATTACTCACTTTAGGCCCAGTTGGTCCTTGCCATCCGCTTGGTCCCTGTCGTCCTGGGAGACCAGGAGGGCCAGTGCGTCCCTGTAACACAAACAGCATCATTTTACACTCAGAGAGAAATATACATTTAAAAGTACTGTAAGCTTTAAATCAGCTCCATATATCCTTGCATATTGGCAGATTTCACTGAAATTAATGTCTTGATAAAGTGTTCTTGGCTTAATAAACGTCCAATCTTCTATGGCTTAAAAACGTCCAAACGTCCAATCTTTTTGCATGCTCAGATTGCTGACATTATTTTGGCTGATATATCTTTAGTGCACAGGTTTTGGCTGTCTAATGCAGTGGCTCAGAGCAGTTATACAAAATAAAATGATTAGGACGATTAACGATTTTAATTAAAACGTAATTTAATTACACAAATTCATTAAGTATTAATTGATAAAATAGTCCCTGATATAACAGAACTTGATATATTATGAGTTTTAGCACAGATGGAAATACTGTATTGGTCAATTTTTTTTTTTTTTTTAGTAATTCTAGTATTACCACTTAATTTTTTTTCAGTTATTGCCAAGGCAACATTTCTTAAACTTTTTTTAAGTTTAAGTTTTTCATCAGTCAATAAATGTTTATTTATAGAGCACATTTAAGCACAACCAAAGTAGACCAAAGCACTGTACAATGAATAAAATAATCAAAAGGTAACAATAATGAATTTAAAGGGAACAATATATAGAAATAAAAACAAAATATGTAATAGACAATCATCAATCTACAAGAGACACCCAAAATAACATACTTAATTAATATTAAAATCCAGGGAGAAAAAAAATGTCTAAAGAAAGATCTCAAATGCAGTGATGGATGGAACCTGTCTTATGTGAATAGAGCAAAAGTGCAATCACCTCGATTTTTAAGTTTTACTCTGGGCACAGTGAGTAGGCCAAGGTCACATGATCTTAAGGTTCTAGAAGAAGTATACAGGAGCAAGTATTGAGGTGCCAGGTATTGAGGGCTTTGTAGACAAATAAGAGTTAATTTATACTTGACAGGGAGCAAGTAAAGACATTAAAATATGTAATGTGGTTATATTTGCACATCCCTTTGAGCAGTCCAGCTGCAGACAGGAAATGGAAGCTTGAGTAATGCCATAATACAGTATTACAGTATTCAAGCAAAGATGTTTCAAAGGCCTGGATTGCAGTTTCAATTGCTCATGAATGAAAAGATCTTAACTTTAGTAAGAAGGTTAATCAATGTCTCTTGTTAATCAATGTTAATCAATGTTGATAAAAACATGACTTGACAACAGCAGTGAACTTTAAGCTGCATTCAAATAGGATGGCCAAATTTCTGGCACACTGCATATTTTATAGTATAAAAATGTCAAGATAAAAAAAAAATGTATCTTTGGGCCAAACATAATAATTTTGTATTTCTTTTAATTTAGATTAGGAAAAAATAGCTTAAAACATAGCTTAATTTCTATAAGCATTCTAACAGTGGCTGAAGAGAGTGTTTATTGTTAAGCTATAACGTAAGATAGATTTGTGTGTTGTCGGCATATAGATAAAAAGACACGCCATATTTATCAAAAACAGAAACTGGGGGAGCATAAACAGGGAAAACAACACAGGTCCAAGAATTGATCCCTGCGGAACACCGCAACCAAAAGGTATATGTTTGAAGATGAGTGATGCCTCAGACCAGGGAAGTTCAGTCCTAGAGACTGAGAGACATTGATTAGCTTGTTCAGGTGTGTTTAATTAGGGTTGGAGCTAAACTCTGCAGGACAGCGACTCTCTAGGACAGAAGTTGCCTACCCCTGCCCCAGACGAACCTATTTGACAAATCAGAGTGTAACCACTATAATACAGTAACACCCACACAAGTCTCCAGCAGGGACAGAGTATGTCATTGCGGACCAAATCAAATGTAGCACTTGGCTCTAAAAGGAGAGCCATGTATTTCCCTGAATCAGTCATGAAAATTCTTCTTATATTTTATTTCATTTAAGCTTTGAATTACAGAAAATTAGTTAACGATAACAACATTAATACAGTACATCAGAAATGTCCCTTTTCCAACGCATCTAATGCATGTAACACCTAAAGACGATTGGCTGCTCAATTGCAGGGCAGTAAGGACAAGGTGAGGACAACATGTCTTCTGAGTGCTCTGAGGGACAAAACAGCCATCAGAAGAGATGGAGAGAGAAAGAGAACAAACCAAACCAAGCCCCATCAGTCTCCTGGCTTTAATTAAATTATGTGCTAAGGGCAGGAGCCGGGCATTGTGGGAGAGCAAATGATTTATTGGGCTGCCCCAGCACTAAGCTAAATTACTATGCAATGCTGCAAAGCTTCCTACACCAGCAGCACTCCAGCCTCAGTGTCTGTTTGGAGTAAAACAATTCACCAGCACACCCAAAATCCTGTGCAGCAGTTTAGTGGCTTCTCGGTTTACCCGCAGCCCCGCTGTAGGTATTACTGACTCTGGTCCCAAATGACTTCCAGGAAACCACACAAGCCCACAATGTGATTGTGGGACAAGTGCCATGGGGATATTCCATTGTGGATTGAACCTAATGATGGTGACCACAAGCGTCCCCTGATGTTTAGCTCTCTGCTGCTTATAACATACAGAAGATCATGTGGAATCATGTGACCTGTGTATCTGTGTCAAGGTTGCGCTTGTTATGAATTTCCTTCCGCTCATGTTATGCTGCAGCTGTAAAAGTGTGTGCATCTCTCATTCCTTCTTCTTCCCTTTTTTCAAAGTAAATCCACTTATTGGAAAACAGAGGACAGTGAGTCTCACCTTTTGTCCGGGTCTTCCAATTTCACCCTAGCAACATAAAGGAGGGGAGGAGGGAACAAATCAGTTCATCTATGTGTTACAGTATACACAGTCTTGGGTGTCACTGAATAGTTTATAAAGGAATAGTTAATAAAGTTATAATTTCTTGAGTCATAATTTCAAAAGAAGACATTTTTAATAAAGTTTCAGCAGTTTTTAGCAAAAACAGTTAAAAATTTCTTCAAAAGATCTTCTTTTGTATTTTCTGAGCCTGGTTCAGTGTTAGTACCTAGTTATTACACAGTTATTATAATTACTATAATAAGTACATAGTATGTACATGCTGATTAGGACTGTAAAATAAAGTGCAACCATAACAAGAATCTTATTTGCTTCCTTAACTCACTGGACCACTTAGTCAGCCTCATTTCTCTTTCGTTTCGTTCTTAACCACTTTTCATGCTGTTGTACGTTTGTATTATATTTACATAAGTATGTGTCGTACCTTATCTCCCTTTGGTCCCGGCAGTCCAGCAGGACCCTGATCATAAAACAAACATAACTGTTTAATGCTTATCCAAAACATCTGGCTAAAGCCACAGCAACCATATATATTTATTTTGACAAAGAGTGCTTACTAGAACTTATAACTGTTGTGAGCAAGTAATTTTAATGCCAAAATAATGACAAACAGGTTTACCAAATACTTCTCCTGCCTTCTATTGGTTGACACAAAAATGATAGCCCCTCCTCAAACTCACTTCACTGATTGCTATGATTTTTGCTGTGTCAGGCGGAGTGACAAAACAATGATCAAAGCACCACAGAGCCACAGTATTTATACTTTTTGAGGAAATCAGCCTATGAATGGCTTCCTAATAGTTGGAAAATGTTTTAATGAAAAAATTATGCACTGCACCTCTAAAATTATCATCGCTGTTGCAAACTTCAGTGTTACAAAAGGATGCATAAATAATGTTTTTGGCTGACAATCTCAATAATATTCGCTACACAATTGATAACCTATGACAGAGATCAAACTGTACTGAGATTTGACTGAACTTGTGGGGTTTTGAGAGTCTGTGGGTGTCTCTCTTGGGGTTGTTTCTAAGAATGGTACGGTGGAGCAGAGGCTGGCAATGGAAAAAGGTCTATTTCCATCTGCTCTAAATGTGGCGCGTTAATGGCCTGCTGTGTCGTGGGGGGCCAAACTGGTCACATCCGTGTCACTACAGAAAGACGTCTGGGGAACTCACACGGGTCTCACATGCTGAGAGGGTTACGAAGGCTAATTACAGAGCTGGAACTGACCATTGTGACAACCCAAT